CATAGATATATAAAATATATAGAAATGTCTTTTCTAAATAGTTAATAAATGCTTGTTATAGTTTGTAAAAAGTTTACTAAATTAATTAGGTTCTTTTTTTTTAATTTTTAACTGATGTAAACATATCTGGGCAATGAAAATTGAAGAGGGTTTGGTTTGGATGATAAGGGGGAAAATGGAAAGGAAGTTGGTAAAAATTTAGGTTTGCTGTATTTCCTTTGACTCCTGGTAACATTTCAGCCATGAACACATTCCTCACGTGGCCGATTCCTTTATGGTATCTGCGCAAACATTTTCTGTCTCTCAGGGACACTGACGAATGACCAAGTGGAGTGTGTCTGTCCCTTATTCCTTCTCGTGTCACCCCATTCCCTCGCCAAGATACTCAAATAAAAAGAGCACATGTTACTGTTGAGCACATTGTCCCTTTTTCCATCTTAATATTGGCTTGAGTCAGGTTTCTGAGGGCAGTGTCCCTCTGAGCCCGGCAGGGTTTTCTACGACACTGCAACTTGGCCAGTTGGTTTTCTCTTGTAGAGAGGGGCCGAGACGACAGTTCAGGGATGGGGTGCGTGTTTCTAGAGCGTGTCATTGTGGTATCTCTGCAAAAGTTGCAAGTGGTGGGAACTCGATTCAAGGCAAAACACCACATGTGAGTTTGTTAAACCTTACACTTTTTCTTTTTTCCTCTTCTCAACTCTTTAATGGCTCCACACAACAGTCTTGGCTGTGTGTTGGTGTCTGAACTTACGTGTATGTGTGTGGGGGTGTGGCCGTGGACGCAGCGGTGACCACGTTGCTCTAACGTGAGAACCTGAGTTCCTCACTGACCTTTGCTGCCTCTGTTTCTGGTCTCCTTGTCCTCGTCCCTCCATAAAGCAGGGATTACAGAGAAAGTCAGCGACAGGATTCAGTCGGACTGGTGACCGTGAAATCTCATCACCCCTGAATTTTAATGTTGACCACGACCAGCTTCTCGAAGGATATGGATCCTCCAAGTAGCTCACCTACTGTACAAACGGGGCCGCGTCGACAATGGTGTGACATCCTTCCACTCGCTACAGGACATTTGTGGACATTAAGGCCCCATGTTCACTTTGCCTTTATAATGGTTTTCATGTACCTGACAGTACCCTGACCTCCCCACCTTAATGAGAATGTCAGAATTTCTAATTTATTCCTAAACTTTTAGAAACTATTTGAAATGCACTGTCCAGCATTTAGAACCCAAAACTGAGCCGAACAGTCAACACACGTCTGTTTAGTAGCATTCAGACACGTAGATTTTGCTTAAGTTTCAGACCTGTTGTGCCTCTACCGGTCAGAGGATGAGTTTGACACCGGCTGCCACGCTGCATACAGATGGAAACATCTGTCGAGTTCAGTGTAATGGCAAAACGATCTCAAGGATAGGATACTAAAAGCAAATAGAAAAACTGTAACACAGAGTTCATGAAAATGCTTCCTTGTTCAGAAGCAAGGGAAAATAAGCTAACCTATGAGACTTAATCATGCACTGGGTAAGTTTACATTCAGTAAAGTTATCTTGCATGCTTTGGTTAATATTCAAATAAGCAGATTTGCAAGTATTAATGCATGCGTTATTTTTGCACCTGAGGTTACATGTTTTACTTTTTAAAAATTGCCTTTTTTACAAACTTTATGCCAGAGTTCATCTCCGAACACTCTTCAAAAAATATATCTACTTCTTAGTTCAAACCAATTTATCGTTCAACCAGTTCTATAAATACTAAGAAGATAGAGAAACTGTGCAGTAAAATCCGGAGAGGGGATGGATTTGAAATTATTTTAGAAATTTAAATTATGTGTGTGCATGTGTAATAACTTCTAAAATCGGAGGCCTCAAAAAGGTGGCACACGAATCAAGCCTTCAGAATACCCTGTTTCTAGAACGCTTTTAGAAGCATTTCCAGGTAGAAGACAACAGCAACAACGAAGTGAAAGTGTAGACTGGTCCTGTGGAACTGATCCAGGGACAAATGAAGAAGTAACACAGAAAGACCATCTTGCTTGTACACTCCCAAGGAGCTCACAGAGTTTTTGGTAAACAGTTTGGGAGCTCCTGTTATATGAGGGACTAGTACAATTGTGTGTAAGTCTTGCTTGTTATAGCAAGATCATACTAGAAAGATTCATCTAGTACTAGAGTCTAGACATGGACCCCAGATTCAACGCAATAGCTCTCTTTAAAGAAAAAGAATGGTCTGGCCTATGTGGCTCAGTGGTTGAGCACTGACCCACGCACCAGGAGGTCACCAGTTCGATTCCCGGTCAGGGCACATGCCCAGGTTGTGGGCCTGAGTGGGGGGTGTGCAGGAGGTGGCCAACTGATGTTCTCTCTCATCGATGTTTCTATCTCTCTCTCCCTCTCACTCTAAAATCAATAAAGAAAAAAATTTTTTTTAAAGAATGAGGAAATGGCATGAGACGGAAAGTGAGTGTGTCCTGGACATTCCAACCCAGTTAAGAACCATAAATTTGCTATTTTAGTTGAAACGCAGATTGGCTGAGAAAGCACAGTTCACAGGTCTCTGTGCAAGTGTCCTGGTGGACAAGACCAGTCTTTCTTTCAAGGAGTCATGGGCGTGATCTTGGGAGGAAGCAAAGGAAATGCTGACTCAATATGACTGGGCAGGAAGTGGCTGCTTTGCTCCTTCGCCTGCTCTTCTCTGTTCCTCCGACTCCCGCTCACGTTAAGGTTCAGCAGCACAGAGAAATAGCCCACTAGACATAGTTATAACATATTTTGAAATGCACCAGTGATCACTGGCTTTCTCCACATTTTCATCCAATCTCCTGGTGAAATCGGTCCGTGAAAGTCACATCTGTGCAATTGAGTGGACACTCTTGTGAAATCGTACCATCCTCAAGAAATCTTGGGCTGTTAGTAATGCAAGAAACCAAACAAAAACAAAACAAAACAAAACACCTCAAAGCCTTCCCAGAGTGCCTCAGAGGGAACCAAGTTCATCCCACCCTTTCAAAATGGAAAGAGTAATATACATGACAATTTTACCCCATGGCGATAAGATACCAAAAAGGTTTGCCTTTAAAAAAAGATGTTCTGATTTCTATAAACTTTCTCTTGCTTTTCAGTAACTGTTCTAACTTAATTTTATTAAAAATATTATGAAAGCATGTCTTGGGCAATAATTCCGCACTTCGTGACAGGGAACAGCTTATGAAAATCTTGGTTCTGACGGACGCTAGATATTTTGGAGAAAGTTTTACCAAGTGCTCTGCAAATCACCAAATTAGTTGGAAAATAGTTTATTCTCTCCTAAAACAATTCCTTGGAGTTTGAAGTTGCTTTGTATTCAAATAGCAAGATAAAACTGGGACCCAAATCTGCCACCACTTAGGAAAAATCAAGTTAAATAAAAATATTGTACATTTACCCTACTGTCAGGCTTTGCATTGTGACTGATTTCCTGTACATAGTGGCAGCGAAGCTAAGAAAACAGCTTGTTTTTATTACTGCAAACTCAGTTTCTGTTGAAAGGATAGAATGGCATGATAAACAGAACATTTGTGAACGCTGCTTTGAATCCTTTGTTTAGAGGCTCCTAGTGGACTGTGATGGATCGATGCCAGTCAGCTGGCCCACGTCAATGTACAGGGAGAGGGAGGAGGCAGGAACACACCGAGAAGGGACGCTATTCTATCAGGGATACTCAGACAGGCAGCTCCCATGGTTGGAGGCTGGCCCCAAGAGTCTTTCCCAGGCCAAGTTCCTAGGATTCCAAAATTCTGGAGAATACCATTCTTGAAAATTTTGTTGAGTTTACTTTGTTTCTGAACCTGCAGGGAAGTAGGTCAAACCTGGGTTGTTCCCACTTTCCAATGGTGAATGTCTTATGCTTCTGCCTCCTGCTGTCCAGTTGGAGGATATCACCTTGCCCAGGTGAGCTTTGACAGTGAAGAGCCAAGCTTCTATCACAGTGCCCTGGACTCTGTCTTTATATACTGGAATAGGTTATAATATATGTAAGCCTCAAGGATTTGTGGTTTCATGTTTATCTGCGGCCCTCCTATGCCAGGGACTTCAAATGTAACAGAGGAGACTATTTCTGTCTGCACCTCAAGTTCAGTACGTGTGCACACCCCACCCCTCCCTCACAGTGGAAACTAACTCCCTAGTCAACTGCACTGTCTTGCCCCAGATGCTGGTTTTTTTGGCAACTATAATCATGAGTGGAGACAGCTATTACTAACCAAAGAACATGAAGGAAAGCTGGGATCAGACTGCTTTGGGGGAGAATCTGGAGGAAGGAAGCAGACAAACTGAAGAAGAATGGGACAATTTATGAGGACAAATTAGTAGAATTGGGCACTGGTGAAATAAAATTTGGTTAGCATTTTGCAAACAATTTTTTTTAACCCTTTAAAAATCATGTCTTTCCAAATAATCATTGAGCCCCCAACAAGCACAAAACTCTCTGAAGAACTGAGTGGAATGTAACTAATGAAAAAAAATACACCACTGCCTACAGTAAGTCCCGGTACCTGATAAATGTCCAAAATGAGAGACAAAGGGGCATGCATCTTTCATAGGGAACCTCTGACATTCGGTGAGATTCGGCTACAAAATACTGATCTGGATTACTTTAGAAGGCAAAAGGGTAAGCAATGCAGATTATTATGGAACTAAGAAAAACATATTTTTTAGGAAAAATGTATTTATCATTCTTAAGAAATACTATTTAAAATATTAACAGTTTAAAAGGAACATCATTGTGCAAGGCAGTTAGTAAGCAAGTAAAATATGACATTTAAGCAAGTTAATGTTAACTCAGTAGAAATCACGACCTCATCAAACTTTCGCCCCGCGGAGAATGCATGAAGAGACAGAATCTTATGTCTTGCTTAAGTTCTTGCAGTCCCAGACAGAACATGAATAAGATCTGTGTTTGCATATTTATATCCTATCTCATATCTGCTTTAAGAAAAAAACTCCTTCAAAACCCTACACTGTGAAAAACTATTTTCAGGAATTTTTATTTGGTCCATTGATCTAACAAGGCTAAGTTCTCAAATCTTTTACCCCCAAGTTAAAAATTGGAGCAACAAAACAAAACTCCAGCAAGGCATAAATAAGATATTAAAGTGCATATATACAGTCCCAGAAAAGTTTTGATTGGGAACAGCAAAAATTTCTAGTGCAAAAACGGCTTTTGCCAGCAAAGCTCCTTCTCTGGAATCAAAAAGCTACAGTAAAAGTTAAAATTGGAACAGGTTTAAGCAGTGCCTCTCGTTAGGCGAGTTAATATCTGTGCATGCACCTTGGCCCAAACTATGTTCAATCTTCTACAAGGGGGAGTTTCAGGGGACAGTTCAGAAAGAGTCAGAAGTCCCTGATCCAAGGCAGTGCCTTCTCCAGGTGTCCCACGAGGAGGCTCCTTAGATGTGTCATCAGCCACAAGTGGGGACAAAACCCAAAGATGTTTTGCGATAGGCTTGCAGCTTGTGAAAAGAGTATTCACATAGTCACTTTATCTCGGTTTGTCTTGAGCCTCTCGATTCTTCTTTCGAGCCCGGCCTTGCCTCTCTACATAACATTTTGTGCTTTTGGACCTGAACAGAGACGGGGCCTTGTCTGTAGGAATTCCCTTGGATTTTATCACCACAGTCTTTTGGACATCTGGTTTCACCTTTTTGGAATTCATAATAAAATAGGTTTGCATTTCTCAGTACACATATACAGGTGAGGGATTCTTATTTTTTCTTTTCCTTCAAGGATCCAAATTGAAAGCTCTTAGGAGGACATCCAGGTCACCGAGATTAGCCGCCTGGAAGAGTTCCGGTTGGTCCATCAGAGAAAGCGCGATCCTGAGTGCAGCCCAGATGTTCCCGGAGATGGCAGGATGAGGAACTTGCTGTTGATTCCGGCTCTTTCTCTGCAGACTCAGGGCAGTGAGAAAATTGCTGACTGCTTCTCTGAGAGGGCGGAAAAACAGACATTTAAAAATGCAACCAATGTCAGAGTTAGCAAACAAGACAACAAAAATGGATTAAGTTCCTGTAGACTAAAATCCTCAATCACCTCTCTGCGGTGTGTCGGATCATCAGATGAACTACTTTCTAACTCTGTCATTATTCTTTTGTGAAAAATCACCGTTCAGTGCAGTGAAATCAGAAAGAAAGAAGCAAAGCAATTTTTATTTTAGGAAAGTCATGTGGGAGAGGAAGGATAATGGCCATTGCTAACTCTTTAATGCATTTACTTCTTCCCTCTAGGACTGATTTGAAGACGGAATCCATCTGCAGATGTGGTTTATGTAACTAGGGTTGAAGAGGGAGCACCTGGCCCTACTCAGAAACAAAGTGGTCTAACTTTTCCTATTAGCCATGGAAGTATGGGCAGCAGCCGGGGTTGAGTTGAGTTTGTTATCAGAGCACCTGGGCTTGAATCCCATTATTTAGCTGCAGGCAGTATCTTATCTTCTCCAAGCCTCAGTTCCCCTGACTATACAGTAGGGAGAAAGAAGTCATTTTAAAACCTTGTGAGGTGCAGTTGAATCATTTTATGTGAAACCTCCTATTCATTTAGATCAATCTCAAAGTGTTGTCTGGAGAAGCCAGGGGATCAGTGAGGCCAACATGATTTTAAAAGTCATACTAAAATGTTATTTTACCTGTCACTCTCATCCTCTCACAAGTGTACCCTGGAATTTTCTAGGGACTACATACATGGTTTATGATATCCCTGAAGACTGAATGCAGAGCAGAAATGAGAGTCTTCTATTAAGCAAGATATTGATAAGTTCACAAAAATGATAAAAGAATGCTATTCTTCTCATTAAAACATTTATTTTTGTTTTGGAAAATAATTATTTTTTGTAAAATCTGTAATTTATGTTAACATGCAATTAGTTTATTATTTTTAAATATGATTTTTTTTTAAGAGGGAGAGGAAGGGAGAGAGAGAAACATTGATGTGAGAGAGAAACATCGATCTGCTACCTCCTGCACGCCCCCTACTGGGGATCGAGCCCGCCACCCAGGTATGGAACCAGGACCTCTCAGTCCAGGGGGCAATGCTCAATCCATTGAGCCACACCGGTAGGGCAGATTTATTATTTTTAAATAAATCTTTAAAATTTTTCTGTTTAATTTCTAATATAGTAAAACTTGATAGATAAAACACACACAACAGAAGCCTTCTGAAGTTCTCAGTAGCTGCTGAACGTGTAGAGTCCTGACAGCATCGAGTGTGTGACAGCTGTCAGCTGCTGCCGGTCTACCCTTGCTGGGGTGCCAGGAGCCCCTGCTGGGTCTGTCCTCTTCAGGGCACCTTGTGTTACCCAGAGTGTGTACTATGTATCTGATGAGCTTGTCTGCACCAAGAATAGTGACGCCGTTTTCATGTGTATCTGCTTAATGCTTCTTAAAAGCTTTTCACACACTTGATCTATTTAATACTGCGAGGCAGTTATTATTAAGCATCTGATAAGAAACCTGGAAGAAAGTGAGGCTGGATGTCTGATTTCAGTGCACACGATCCAGGCATTTGCTCATCTATATTGTCAGATCTGCCTGGAAAGAAAAGGCAATTAGGAAACGGTTGCACTGTGCAGCAGCCTGGGTAATGGAAGGCAGTGGGTGTTGTAATCGCCTCCTCTTCTGAGTTTCTTGTAAATAAGCCCGAGAGGAGGACTGATAAGCAGAGGCACAGGGAAAGTCTATTTTGGAGACCCTTTCTGGCTCCCCTCACAGGTGGCAGCTCAAAAGACATGACTGTCTCCTTTCATCCTGCCAGGGGGGCGGGAAGCCTGGGGCAGGGGTGGGTCGGAGGGAAGACCGTGGAAATTCTTCATTCCCAGCCCCCGGGGGGGGCAGTGGTCTCCGGGGACTTGGAGAGGAACAGAGGGGCGGGCTAACCTGTTGGCCTCCTCAAGCAACTCCAGGTTTTCTCCAGGACGACAGTCTAAACCTGTTCCCCAACTTGGGAACTCAGAGTTCTTTTGGGGGCTCAGAAGATTGTACATATTTATGTGTAAATAGTTTTCAAATATTTCACACATATATGTATAAATAAGTTTAAATTGTGTATATTGTCATGGTTAATTTAAAAAGCACATTCATTTTAAAGCATTTCTCATTTTATAGTAGCTTTCCCTCATTATACTAATACTAAAAATAAAGCAACTAGCACATAAAAGCAAATAAACTCCACATAGAATTACTAATGTTTGGGAGACATTTCTTTGAGATTAAATCCAATTTCATTTCACTAGGGTTCTATGCATTTTAGATTTTGCTGACAGCTTCTCCTAAAATATGATTTACTTTCATGGTTGTTTAACATATTTTATTTTATTAAAAAGTTTTTTTTTTCTTTATTGATTTTAGAGAGAGGAAGGGAAAGAGAGAGAGAGAGAAACATTGATGAGAGAGAACCTCGATTGGCCGCCTCCTGCATGCACCCTACTGGGGATCGGGCCCACAACCTGGCCAGGTGCCCTGACCGGGAATCGAACCGGGGACCACCTGGGGCATGGGTTGATGCTCAACCACTGAGCCACACTGGTCGGACTAGCATAGTTATTTTAATTGTTTCAAAGCAAAGCCCAGGGGAAAAAAAAATCCAGAAATACTCAGTAGTAAAATATACTCTTGATTCTCAAAATAAAACAAAACAACAGGGTGGGGCAAAAGTATGTTTACAGTTGTGAATATGAAAAACAAAATTTATTCTTGTATTATTATTATTTAAGTATTGTATTCTTTTCCATAAGAACAACTGTAAACTTACTTCTGTCCCCCCCCTGTATTACTGTCAAAGGGGATAAGATTTCTTTTTTCATTAAAAAGGGGCCCTCTCTTTTGAAATGGTTAAGATTCATTGATCTAAGCTGTACTCTGGAGCGTCAGCTGAGGCAAGTGTAGCATTTTAAGCTCACCCTAGTTTCAGGACAACAATTTCCTCTCCTTATTTCAACTGTATACGGTACTAGGGTAGGGCTTGCCTTTGATAGAAAGTGTGAGAGAACAAATAGCAAATGTTATAGCTCACACACACACACACACACACACACACACACACACACACACACCCCTGCAGTTCTGCGGGGAGAGGTCCCAGACTTTGATGGGCACAGACGTCTCTGTACCTGCTCCTGGCTCTCCTCTGAGCCACATCTCTATTGACGGTCGTTATTTCCTACACGTATACTCACACCTCAGGTTAAACTTATTTTCAGAGTTAATTTTATATTTCACTTGATGGTCTTTTTTTCCCCCTCAGGAAAAAATGCAAGATGTGTATAGCTTCACAAGATTTTCCATATCCTGTATGACAATTAAAGACTCGCAAAGCTTAGTGATATGACCCAGATGGACAGATTCAGCCAATAAGAGTACAGGATGCACAGTTAAATTTGAGTTTCAGATAAACAATGAATAATTTTCAGAATTAAGTATGTCCTATGCAGTATTTGGGAAATACTTATCCTAAAAACGTATTATTTACTGTGTATGTGTACTTCCAATTGAACCGAGTATTCTGCCTTTTATCCAGCAACCTTAACATTGACTCATTTTTGTACAGGAGGCTGTCTGCTTGAGGATTAAAGGTTCACACCTCAACAGGGTTGCCCATTTCTGCCTGTCACAGACCGTCAGTGCCTCCTGCAAACAGTTGTCCTACTGAGGCTTACCCCTGTGAATGCCAAGAAAGTGTTTTATTGGCCCCTCAAGTAGGTTTTCTATGCTAAGAAGTTATAATTAAGAAAAAATACTCATCCAGAAGCCTTACAAAAGCCTCATTTAATTGAATTCAATGTGCCTATATGTACGTACATATATATTTATCTCTCTCCAGGCTCCAAAAAGAACCTAAAGTGTCTCATAAAAAACACCTAGAAAATAAGTGAATAAAAGGAGTACACATAAAATCAGGGTAGGGAAATCAGACGAAGCCAGGAATGAAGTGAACATACAAAGTGGACACTGTCAGGAGCCAGAGACTGATGAGCAGGGCGGCGGGAGGGTCCTGCGGGGCCTGCACAGCTGCTGCAGTGAGGACCACAGCAAGGGGCACATTTCACAACGTCCATGAAACAAAACAAACAGCAGCTCCGGGGTCATTCAGGCTTTCTGGTTTTGACCTGAGCAAGATCCTTTTAGAGGACAGAGTGTAATCCGGTGACTAATGAATGTTCTAAGTTCCTTTGATTATAAATGTGACAACTAGTTTCTGAAGCCTCAATATTTGTCCATGGGACCATATCCTAATGCAGTGCAGCAACAGGAGTTCTTCGGGTCTCAACACCGCAACCCAGTGATGTAGCTCTCTGATGACTTACCTAAATAATAATAGTGATGATACTGATGATGATGGCAGTAATAACCATAACGCTGACTCCTGCCAGGTATTGAGCATCTGCTCTGCGCTGGGCAATTTCACTTAAACTGCACAATAACCCTGCAAGACGACATTATCGCTCCCCTTGGTTAAGCAGGTGAAGACATTGAGGCTCCCAGTGATGTGCTCAGAGTCATAAAACCAATAACTGTGATTTGAACCCAAGTTTGTATGATTCTAAAAGCTCAACACTTTCTGAGAATGAGAAAGGGCTTGCATTTTTTTGTGGGGTTTAAAACTAACATTTAATCCTCTTTTTTCCAGTTCTGAAAGTAATGCCTCTTTACTTAGGGGGAAAAAAAAAGAGAAAGAAAGAAGAAGAAAAATCACCCAAACTTTCATTATGCAAAAGAAACAAAGGTCATGTATGGTCCCTGTTGATGGGGATAAGATAGGAGGGGACCTAGACCTGACCTGAGTGACAATGAGGAATCATGAGAGAAGGAGAAAGACATTACAAACTTGAACCCCACCGTTTATGAATATTCCTTTTTTTTTTTTTTAATTTTTTTTTTTTTTCATCCTCACCCGAGGATATTTTTCCATTTTTTGTACAGATAGAGTGGAAGGGAGAGAGAGAGAGAGAGAAACATCGATGTGAAGGGACACATCGAGTGGCTGCCACCTGCACGACCAACCAGGGCCGGGGACAAACTGCAACTGAAGTACGTGCCCTTAGCGGGAACCGAACCCGGGTCTCTCCGGACCGCAGGCCGATGCTCTAACCGCTGAGCCAAACTGGCCAGGGCTATGAATATTTCTTTTAAACATTTTTTTTATTACTCACTTTACTGGTAAATGAGGTTTAGAGAACCTGGATTCTTGGTTGTGCTTTGTCAAAAACTGGCCCTGAACCCTTTTTAAGTCCTTTTGCTGGGTTCTCCTGCTACCACTCCCCCCCCCCCCCCCCCCCCCCCCAGCTTTTCTGTTCCTTACCTGCAAAATGAAGGTTTGGGCTACTCATGTTTCTCAAAGAGTTGCCCTTGGAGGTGTTAAAAACCCAGATAACTTGTCCCAACCCCAGCTGACTGAATGAAAAATCTCTAGAGGGCCCGGGAATCTGCATTTCACAAGGTGCCCATGATTGCTGCTCTCTGGAGACTGAGAAACACTAAGGCGGACTGCTCCTGCTGCAACAGGCCTCAGGATCTGGAGTTTCTGAGCTTACCCGCAACAGGAGGGGGATTACTCCTCCAAAGGAGATGTTTTTAGTGGCAAACCACCTTTCAGGTTAAACTCAGCCCTCAGCGTGGCCGCCGGACCTCACCTGTAGGCGCCCAGGTTGATGCAGCTTATCCCCAGGTTGTATCTGGACCGGATGAAGCCTGGCTGGATCTCGAGCGCTCGCGTGTAGGCCTCCACCGCCTCCTCGCTGCGGTCTCCATTCGCCAAGGTCGCCCCCAGGCGGTTCCACAAAGAATAGTCCTGATGATAAAGGGAGAGCTCTAACAACCAGTACACGCCACAGGGGCAGAGTGTTCTCATCTTCCCTGCAGAAGAACGATGATGGCTAAAAATGCATCCAGTGCTCATGGACAAGGACCCGGGCGGTGAATTCCTCAAACATCTGTATGGACTGCTTTGTGAAATGACTCTCATTCATCAAGGAGCAGCTACCATTGATGCTGTCAGGCAATTCATGTTTCTATTTTAGGTACGTAAGTATTAACGGCCACAGTAACATATCATTAGTTCATTGGTACTGATCATTTTCAACTACTGGATGCAGGGAAATCAAGTGTAGCAAAAATGTACGAAGTATATTTGTGAAAACTTTTTTTTTTTTTAAAGAGAGAACCTTATGGTTTCTTGCTGTGTACTTACCTCTGGCCGAACAGTTAAGGCAGCGTTAAATGCATCTATTGCTCTATTAAATTCTCCGCTCAGATGGAACAGTACTCCCAGACCTGTCTGCAGATCTGGGTCGATCATATCTCCGTTTTGGTGGGCAGCTTCCAGATATAATTCCTTCACTCCTTCCAGAATGGCGCTACCAGGGAAAAAAATTAGGTATGTAGTCCAAATAGTCTGAACGCAAATTATTTAGCATTATGTTCTTTGTTCATTACAGACTAGAAAAAAATCTTGCTTAAAATATCTTAGCATAGCCCTGGCCGGTTTGGCTCAGCGGTTAGAGCGTCGGCCTGCGGTCCAGAGAGACCCGGGTTCGGTTCCCGCTAAGGGCATGTACCTCGGTTGCAGTTTGTCCCCGGCCCTGGTCCGTCGTGCGGGTGGCAGCCACTCGATGTGTCCCTTTCACATCGATGTTTCTCTCTCTCTCTCTCTGTTCCTCTCTCTCCCTCCCACTCTACCTGAACAAAAAATGGAAAAATGTCCTCGGGTGAGGATAAAAAAAATATATATCTTAGCATAGCCCTGGCAGGTTGGCTCAGCAATCAGAGCATTGGTCTGCAGACCAAAGGGTCACGGGTTCGATTCTGGTCAAGGACATGTACCGGGGTTGCAGGTTCATCCCTGGTCCAAGTCAGGGAGAGTTGTTTGGGAGGTGACCAATTGATGTGTCTCTCTCACACTGAAGTTTTTCTCTCTCTCCCTCCCTCCCTTCCACTGTATCTAAAAAAATCAATGGAAAAATATCCTGGGGTGAGGATTAAAAAAAAAAAAAAAAAGAAATATCTTAGCATAATGAGAATACTATTAATACTGCAGGTTAAACTACCTGCTGATTTTAATGAATACTTTGTCATACACAGATACAAACAGTGCTAGATTAAGGAGAGTTCCATTGACCCTGTAAGTGCCAGTGTAGAAAACCCTCGGGCTGAGTGTCTCAGTGAAAAGGAATTTAACATCACGATTTATTGCTGATGGAAACAAAATTCCAGAAGAAAGGACTTCCCTTTTCCCCTATACCTAATTCTCGGGCTTCTAACACCTGGCACATTGCTACTTGTTATAATTTAGTTTGGGTTAATTATATGTCCAAAGCATTTGGCTTTTAAGTATGGTACTCAGATAAATGTCTGTGCGTGCCCACGGTGTAGATCACATGTCCAGAGGTTGGCTCCGCTCACAGCTCAGTCTTAAACCAGCACTGCGCTTCCGGCAGCACGCTCTCCTGCAGACTAGCTGGACTGGGTGCTGTTGGGACCGGAGGCTCGTTCAGTACCGTTATGGTGATTAATTGTGTATATGGCTGTAATGTAATGATGTGGATACCTATCAACAGGAGACTTAGACATCCTCCGGGTGAGGCCTGGAGATCCCTTCTTGCTCTTCACAAGGTATTTGTACTTTGGATTTTGCTTAATCCAATTCTTTAGAGCTTCACAGGCATCCTGCTGATGGCCGGTGTTCGTGTAACTGACAGCCAAAGCCATCAAAGCTTTCAAGTTGTTGGGCTGCAATTCTAAGCACCTGAAACAAGTGGGAAAGAGCCAATTTCAGATTTTTTTTTTTTTGAGCAGTCTGAACAGTTCTTTAAAAAATTTGAGGTCTTTATTAATTAAAGGGTATAAAAACATTGCTAAATGTATGTTAAGCCACTGGAGAATATCATATTCAATATCTACATGAAAATTGGGACCTAAGCTTATTTTTATAAAAGTTAAAACTCATCCTGATGCGTGTTAGGTTTGGTCATTTTAATAAATGATTTTAAAACTATAGACAATGCGGCTAATCCCTGCACATGATTTATTAGTAGTTAATCTAACGAGAAGCAGGGGATATCATTATTTTAACATGGCTCTACTATCACTATATTAAATGCACCTTACCCACAAAGCAAAGTGAGTTGAGTTAAATTTGGACATCCAGAGATGAAAGATTGCAGTGTTTTGTAAAGGAGAGGGAAATTCTGTGTTTCCAGATGACAGATGTGGGCTTACGGGAGGCCCAGGCTACATCTGCTCCCCTTCATGCTATTCCACTGGCCTGGAGCAAGGGCTTTTCAAACTTTGATGTGCATGGAAATCACCTGGGGATCTCATAAATGCAGCTGACACAGAGGGCCGGGGAGGGCCCCAGGCTGTGCAAGTCTGACAGGCTCCCAGGTGGTAATGACAGGATGAGGATAGTCCCTGGATAAGACTTTGAATAGCAAGCCCTAGGTGGTACCTATATCAGTGCTTTAGGAAGAAGTTATATATATCTATATATCTATATCTCTATATATAGATATCTATATCTATATATAAAAATAAATAAAAGAAAGCGTAGGGAAAGTGGAAATGTATTTGGTAGGGGCTAATTTTTCCTCCAGGGTTTAAATAGGGGCTCTAATCAAGCATGGTGTGATGCTACACCCATTCAAAGTAGTCTATGGCTTTAGTCAGGGACTCAGGAGTTACTAAAAATATCTCAGGATATGCTCTGTAGACGCCAAGAGCTAAAATTGCATTGAGATTATTTTGAGTATATATTTTTTCTGAACAAAACTTTCAGATGCTGAAGAAGGATAGGATGTTAAAAGGAACTCTTTATTCACCGAGTCTATTTTATGACTACTTTTGACAGAAACTCTTTCATGCTAATGAAGGTCAATTGATTTGTAAATGGCCAAACATTTCGATTTAGGAACATTATTTCTTCATAAATTCCTGTTTTCCAGAGCTAAGTGTAAGTCATATGTGGCATCTCAGTACTTGTTCTGGCCAAATTCTTTGCAGTGTGTTTAAAGGTCAAAAGATAAATCTGAAACAATAGGAAGCCCATTAACAAGTGTCCGCCAGTCCCAAGATTTTGCACTTAGCTTCATCTACCTCTGGAGGGCGACAATAGCTGCTTGCTCATTTTCATTCTCTGCTTGAGTTATCCCGAGGAACTGCCAGGCCTACAAAAAATAACCGAGGTCAACGTGGCAAGAGGCAGCAGAATCACTCACGTGCAGTTGCTGGGTTGTTTGCCTGCGACAGATGCCTCTGTACAGGGCAGCCTGTCTCAGATGCGAGTCTCGTAAAAGGGGAAAATATCACATGCCTTTCTTCATTCAAACTCTTTTGTGACATCTGGGTCAAGATCCTCTGTCTTTATTTACAAACTCTCAGTATTTAATCTCTCCCATGACCCATGGAAACCTCTGACTTTCTGAGATGCTAGGTATCTTAAAACCAAAAGATGAATACATAAAAGTATACGTGTATGAGGGGAAAAGGTGTAGAAAAATAACCCAGAAATGTAGCTAAAGTTTGGAATAAGAAATCTCAAGGTATAAAATAAAATTAACTTGTATAAATGAAAGTCAAGCAGTTATCAGAAGAGGCAACAGGTAGTCTAGGAACGAGGGAAAATGAACAAAACCCCTTAAAATGTGTTTATTGCTCTAATACAGGGTGGGGCAAAAGTGGGTTTACAGTTTTAAGCACATGGCACACCGTTTATTCCTGTGTTATTTATGGTATTTTCCACATGAACTGTAAACCTACTTTTGCCAACCCTGTATAATCACTTTTAAAATGCATAAAACATATAAAATGCAATATAATGTATATATAATTTTAAAGCCTATACTTACACTTTATGTTGTACCATAAACACTATTTCATGTTTTTACAAAATCTTCCTACTTATAGTTTTTAATTTAAAGTTTGCTGAGTGGATATCCCATTATTTACTCAGCCAATTCCCTTATCTGAGGTTGTTTCCAATCCTTTGCTATCGTAAATAATGTGAACAATATCTTCAAGCAGATAATGTTTTTCATATCTAAAATGGCATTTTTCAATATAATAAATTTCTACTTATATACTTAGAGCAATAATTCTCACACCATTATGAGAGCAATGCACATAAAAACAAAAACAAAATAAATAAATAAACAAAAAAACCCCACCTCTCCTTACACACATTGTCCTCAAATTCACAGGGGGCAGGGTGTATCCCTACTTAGGGATTTAACAAGGCTTGGGAAGTGCGTCACTCCCTTTGAAAATCAATGCTATGGATATTTTTAAACAAACTATATGAAAACACAGAGCTATCTTAAAGTGCTATAAAATTATATCAGCTTTCCCCCTTACGAATTATTACGCATACCATAAAAACTCATAGAAATACTAATTATTCCCCCCCAGAATATCAGTGATTCTTTTGAATCTTTCAAATGTACGCAGAGCAGCCCGCACTTTTATTTCACCTTCCACACATTTTAGAATGCTTCTCAAGAAAGGTGATGAAACCGTCTTTCTCGGAGGGCTTCTGCCTAGGCTTTGGGCATCACTTTCATGTCCACAGAGTCCATTATTCTCAGTGTTGGGGTCTTCATAGATTCAGAAGCCCCGGGTCTTTGTCTAGGATCCATTAGTTACCAAGTGTCCTGATTTTCTCATCTATGAGTCTGGGATAATAATGTACGCTTTTTTTTTAACCTCCCAGAGTTGTTGTGTCAAATGATATTAATATACACGAAAAAGAGCACTTAGAATTGTAAGATGACATTATTATTTTTTGGGGGGGGGGCCTGATTTTTCTATTAATGCAATGATTTTCTCTTCTACAATGATTTAGATATCTATTTTTTTTATTGTTGACACTATTACAGATGTCCTCCATTTCCCCCACTTCCACCCAGCTCCCGCCACCCCGCCCCCGCCTTCACCACTCTGCCGTCTGTGTTCTCTCTTCTCCTTCTTTTTCAAATATTTTTTTAAAAATTCTAATATTTTGGTTCAGAATTCCCGCTCTCAGTTGAATCTCATTTCATTATCAATGTTTTGACTAACAAAATACCAGGGGCTCTAGTGATGTCCTTTAGACACTAATAGTAATAAAGGCTAAATATAGATGTGCCAGACACTGAACTGAGCTCTTTACTTGTGTGAACTAATTTAATCCTCACAAAGTCCAATGAGATAGTTATGATCGTGATTTCCACTCTACCTCTGAGGGAACGGAAGCCTCGAGGGGTTGAGTGACTTGCCCCAGGTCCCGTGGCTCCCGGGAACCAGCAGCAGGGCATGTTTGAACCCACACAGGCCAGCGGAGTCTAGACGCTTACCCAGTATTCTATACTGGCTTCTCAGCACCGTACACCCCCTTCCTAAAATTTCTCAAATTCTTCTTGGAATATCCCTTATGTTTCCTGAAAATTACAAACTACAGAAGCAGACTTTAGATTTGCCTCTATCCGAGGCCAGGCCTTCACAGGTTTGGAAGGGTGGTGCACCAAGACGGGGTTGCAGACGCTCGTTGGTGGTCTCTCAGCTTGGTCTCCAACCCCCCTTCACACCTCAAGGGGGTTTTCTAACATACTCTTTCCTAGTGGCTCCTCCCCGTGGCTTTTGGGATGAAGTTCCAACTCTGGCCTACCTCTTCATGCCTCCACTCCCTCTGCTCAGCCAAGAGCCTTTCCCTCGAAACAGCTGGACTCCCCTGCTGTCTCTAGTAGATCAGCTCCCCTCGAAAACCCAGCTTTGGACTCGGGGAAGGCCGAGTCGGTGTCCGCTCTGCTCTCCTAGCCTCTTGTGCATTTGCACTGACTACACTGATTTACTGGCTTGTCCCTTCAGATAGACCACTAATGTGTTTTCTCAACTGTCCCATTTTCCCAGCTCTTCAGTGTTCTGAGCCCGTGGGTGGCACAGTCCGGGGACGTAGTATGTGTTCAGTACATGTGGAGTCAGTAAATCAATGGTGAGACGGGGTGGGGCTCTAGACCCAGACAAGACTGCATACTGCCCCCCGAAAACTGCGCTGAGCTTCCAGGTAGGCAGTTTCACCTTCCATTTCCTGTCTCCCCCTTCATTCTGAAGCACTATAGATACTGCAGAGTTGGTTAGACAACAGGTTGTATCACACTGAACCAGGTTAATTCCTTGAGAACCTGACAAAAATGCCACCCAGCAGAGCTCTGGGCCACCCTCTGAACCTTATCAGCACGTGCTGCCACTTTCTGGGTCTGGCGGGATGAAGGGAAAATGACACCTCTGCATCTCCAGGGTCCTGAAGGATAGCTGCCTCCATGAACAGGATGGTGACGGGGAGGTCCCCTTCCTTCAGCCTTTTCAAGCCTTCTTCAAATGCACCTGGCCAGTCCTTGAAGGGGTTTTCAGTGTGGAAGTAATAGCCCTACAACACAGAAGGGCCAACACAGATCCAGCGATTTATCTCCTCATTATCACACTCAGTAAGTTCTTCTTGAATTTAAATGAAATCAAATTATTTAATTAATTGCAATTTTTTAAATAAATGTTTTTATTGTAGTGAAATTTTATTTTATATACACAATGTGAAATCAAACACTTAAATTTAAATTACTGTTTTTTTTTCCCTTACTATGACTCTGCATTTTCACCGTATAAATTTTAGATTTTGTTATTGAACACTTAAAAAGAAACAAAAAGTTACCCATCATGATGCAACCTAAATATGATCACTGCTAATATTTTGGAGTTTGTTTTAAGTCTGACATTTCTTGTGTTCATTTTGTTTTAACCATTTCCTGCCCTCCTCCCTCCAAGTTTGTAAAAATAACCGAGTTTTGGTATTTACTTTTGCTACGGGCTGCCACCCTCCCCTGGAGTGTTAATGCTATGTCCTGTACATCGGTCCTTTTCAGGGCTACAGACCATTGTAATACCTAAGGTTCCTTTTGCCCTCCTACCTCAAACCCGTATTTGACCCATTGGTGACTATATCGCCTGTGGAGAAGGCATGTTTTAAAATTATAGATCTTCTATTGTAAAAATGTAACCAATGCAGAATGTACAAATAATCTTTTAGTATTTTTCTATGACTAAGTTAATCAAATTAGCTCATACTGTAGGTGCAGTTTTGTAGCCTAAGCCCCACTTCATTTTAGTTTTTATAACTATTTCTATTAAGTGAACATTGATTTAGTCAAACCCCTCTTGATGGACTTTCAGATTTTCACTCCTTTGTTTTCAGGAATAAAGCTACAGTGAAAGCCTCATGCTCAAGTCTTTGTCTGCATTGATTATTACCTTAAGATACACTTCTAGAGGGATTTATTAGGCTATACACGATCTTGAAGCCCTTGATATGTGTAGCTGAATTGTTTTTGAGAAAATATGTCCTGATTTAAACTCTCATCATAAGTACCTGAGAGACATTATTCGCTGCAACATTAATTAGCATAGATTATCATAAAATCTTTCTAATTTGATAGATTCAATGAAGCTAGTTTGTTGATGCTACTAAGGTTTTAAAAATGATCAAAGTGAGACCTTCAGAAATACAGAACCCCTTATCAAAGGCCACAGAGCTTATGCAATGGTGTTATCAATATGAGGTCCCAGGAGTGGGGAGCTCAGGGTCCTAACCAGGCCTCAGGTTCAAGGATTATAGTCCAGAGTCTGATGATCTGCATCAATGTTCTTACTTCTTACTTAGTTTTGATTTTTTTTTTTTTTGTATAAAGCACATTTATTTTTAATGAGATGGTTGTTCTGACTTTATGAGATTGCCCGGCTTACCAAGGGACACAGAATATTAGAAAGAGAAAGACATTTTAATGACTATGTAGATTGAAAATCTTCTAAGATCAGAGACTATTAATTATAATTTCCCCAGTATCTAGTGCAGAGTAGACACAAGTAAATATTTGTTGGACTGAACTATCATGGAAATTATCCAGAACAAAATATTGAGACTTCTTCTACAAAAACCATAATATAAGCATATACTATATCTGACCCTCCTCCCCAGTGTAAAAAATTCCACATTTCTTTCTATCTTTCAAGTCATTTAAACTTATTTTTCAAGTTTTTGTTCCCCAGCTGTTTCTAAAAGCATAAATCCAAGGGCAACTGGGACCTCATGGGCAATTTGGCTGGTTGCTCACTGAGCTCACATTTGCTGGAGACCCTGTCAGGGAAATAGCGTTGAGGAATGCCCTGGGGACTTGACCTGGTGGCGTGAAGGCTGTCTTTTCCATTGTTACTTTGCTAGCTGCATAATGTCCACCTGTGCAATCTAGTCAGGGCCCTGCTTCACTCCTCTGCCCTTTGAGATCACTTCTGTTAGCTCATTGACATGGCTCACGTGACTGACTGACACAAAGCACTGTGGGATTAGCCCAGGTCTTGTTTCAACCCACCCTCAGAATCAGTTGGCTCAGCAACTGGCCAGCAGACGGGAGCCACACTCTGGCTGTCTGCCAAGCTGTCTGTATTAACACTGATAAAAATAAGGGTGTCCTGTTTCAGCTTTGCTGCTTTTACACATGGGATAATTACATTGTTTTCATCTACCAGAATCTCTTTTAGGTCCAATTGACATTATATTGTCTGTTTGATTCTTGGATTTTTCATAAAATAATTATCAACTAATTTATAATTATATGATCCAAAGACGCTGAGAAAACCTGTCAGCATGCGTAAGAAGAGCTGGTCACCTTCTCGCTAGCTGAGATTGTAACTTGGTTCTGGGCTTCTTGGTTCTCGGATATCCAGTTCCTCCGGGCCATTTCTTCCCATTCTGCTTGCATCTTGTCCCAAAACTCTGTGTCTGACTAGGAGACAGGAAAAATGAAGAGATATGGAGTTAAGAACATGCTATATCATTTGGTTTATTTCCAGAAAGACAGTTTTCCTTATAGATCAAAATTAGTTCTGCGGAGGAATAAAATGTTGAAACTGGCCATATCCAATGACATTCACAGTTGAGCTTCTGGAGGACACTCAGCGGTGAGAGTGTTGAACTGGATTAACGGTGACTTTCTCCAGCAGAGAAATCGCTACCATCTGAAGGACCTGGATCATACACACCAATTTCAGCTAAAAATCCGGTGCTTGAACAATTTCAAATGTGGGTGGCGGATGTATTTTCGGAAGGGTGGACTTTCCTCAAGTTGCTCCTAGGATATGAGGACCTAGAGCAACAGCTTTGGGACTGGCTGGGAGGCAGTTGACTGACTTGGGAGGAAGTTAACTGTGAATGAGGAAAAATAACATTATTGATCCTACTCTGTGCCAAGCACTGTGGTGGGAGAAAAGTGAGCCTAGAAGGTTATGGTCACAGAGCTAGGGTTGCACAGGATCTGACCCCTAGTCTGGCTTCCAAGGGCACGCTTATCACCTTATGGCAAACTTGGTCTCCTGGTGCTGAAGAATGAAGGACCCTGGCTTTGCGTATGAACTTGACTGAGTCCCCTTCAAGGGCTTTTCTATGACAGGATAATTTTTTTGGGAAAAAATATTACTTTTTATTTTTTTCCTTATAATTTTCTTTGACATCTTTCAAAAGGGAAGCCCGGCCATAGGTTCTTTACTTCAGAGGAAGTGTGTGTTCTGGATGGAAGCAGAATTTTCCTTCAAGGCCCGCCCCAGGTTGGCTTCTATGTTATTAAGCCTGGAAGGAGTGGTTGCAGGTGTCCTGCGAAGGGGAAAAAGGGGCCAGTGTCTTAAAGAACTTAGGAGAAGAGGAATTTTTCCAGGGGTGGGGAGAGAAGAAGGTGGTAGGTTCTGAGATGAGTGGGAGACTGGTGCTTAGTTTTTAGGTATTTCTCTAGTAAATTAGACTGACCTCCAGAGGGGATGACCGGGAGAGGGGGGCTGACTCGAACTATGATCCCCAGGTGTCAGGGAAATAGAGAAACACTGAATTTCAAGGAACCACTGAGGGCTGGGTTGGCTGTTAGCAGTCAGCAGGACAAATAAGAGGGTGAAGACTGTCCTTGTTGTCTGGCAGTAAATAAGCTTCCCAGATCTGGTGTCTGAGACTGAGTGACCTTCCCAGTGTGGTAGGAGAGATGCTTGGAAACCACTCTATTTTCTTTAAAGAGAATAAAGAAATGGGCATTTCCTGATCACCTGAGCCTGGGACTGAGATCCATACTCTAGCTGCAAATCTCACTTTCTATGATTCTAAGTCCTGTGACTTGTTGACACATCATCAACCTGACTTGAGGTTGCCCTTCACCTTTTACCCTCCCTGTCTCTCCTCCACTCCACCCTCGTGCCTGGTGGTGGTTGTGTTGTGGCAGGAACTCTTCTTCAATGTTGCTTGGAATGATAAATATAACCTTATTTCTTCTGCATACAAATGTTCAGGAAATAAAGGCAAGTCCAATGTGATTAATCCTAGGCTACTAAATAAATTGTAGGTCTTGTTCTTTTCCTTTATTATATCTAGAATACTCATTTCTACCACAGAAATGGGTCCTGTCCCTTCCGTGGGGGACTCCCCTCAACGAAGGCTCAGGGCAGTAGGCATCTTGCGAACATGTGATTGGGATGCTAGAAGTACATGGAATGGCCAACACTTATCCAGGTTAAAATTAGGAATGAAATACAAAATTTCTTTTTCAATGAGTCTTTTTAGTAGAACCACAAAAATTGTGCAAACAGAATGATCTCAGGTATACAAATCAACGGCTGGATAAAAGTCTTGAAGGAAATATGCTACCATGCTAAGAGTAATCTGTTTGAATGAAGGGATAATGGGTGATGCTTTTCCTGTTTCCTTACATTTTTCTGTACTTTCTGAATTTTCTAATTTTGCATTGATTTTATAGTAATAAAGGTTAAAAACAACAATAAAAAATAAATTAGCTTTTCTTTTTTAATACCATGAAACCTGAACATTTAGTTACCAAGGAGTTAGGAGAAATTTTTTAGAGACTCATTATCTGTCTTGAATAGCTTTTCAAAGATGCAGGTTTAACCGGTCTTCATAGACAGGAATAGAAATCTATCAAGTGAATTTTGCAATGTTTACTGACTTTCCCAACCCCCCTGGTGGGTAACGCGAAATGCCAAGGACTTCCAGTACTTTTAAAGGCAGTTACTTGTTCCCCTAGTGAGGTTCCCTCGAATTTAAAGCTATTACAAATCTTCTGAATGAAAGAACAAGGAGGATTTTATAATGTGTACATTTGGGTTACAAAAGGATGCATCACCTTTCCTGCAGTTTCAAATTAGAGCAGTAGATGCATAAATAAGACTTCTGTGGAAAACAGAAGAACCTTAGCTCTGGTGGGGCTGCCAGGCTCTCATTTAATGAGACACACCAGGACTTACTGTTACCACTTAGAATAACTTCTGACTAATTAAAGTGCACAGCACAGTTTCATTTAATTACAGAAGACTACTTTTAGCACATTCAATTTTCATCCAGTCTCCAAATCCAGACTTTATTCACGCAACTGCAATTAACACTGCTTCTTCTTTCTATTGCTAATCAATTTCAGAGAAACCTGAAACATATTTGAATTTTAAATGTTTTAGACAGGACTGAGGGGATTTAATGTATTGATGATTTTTTTAGTTGTTCTGAGATTTTGGTAGATTATTTCTTATATTCTACAGGTAATAAGTTATCTGCCTACACAAGAAATGAGCTATTGTTTGCAAACCATTTTCATTTTAAAAAATAGATTTCTGAGGCCTGGCCAGATAGCTCAGTTGGTTAGAGTGTCCTCCTGATAGGCCAAAGGCATGTCTCTTGTAAGGGTACATACAAGAATCAACCAATGAATACATAAATAAGTGGAACAACAAATCGATGTTTCTCTCTCTCTCTCTACTTTCCTCTCTCAAATCAATCAATCAATAAAAAAATAGTTTTCTGACTATAATAATGGTAGATATTCATAAAAAAAACTTGGGGTATACACTATGATGGTTAAGAATAGCAGCTCTCTCCTCAGAACCTCGGGACAAGGTCTGGCTCCATCACTGACCTTCTGCAACTACCTTGACCTCTCCAGGTCTCAGTTTCCTCATCTTTAAAATGAAGAGATATAATAGTGATCTTGGTTAGTCGTTATGTGGACTAAATGAGAAAATGTATCTGTGGCATAAAGCACATGGTAAATGCTCAATAATAGTAGGTGTTCTGATAGTGTTTTTGCAGCATTAAAAAATATATAAAAATGAACAAAAATCACCCATACCTCAAAGCTCAAATACATATCTGTGAGTACTTGGTGTTATAATTTGCTGTGACTACATATCCTCTTCCAGATATCTTTGGCCATTTAAGTCTTTCCCTTCTAATTAATCATTCAAAAATAGGAGGAAAGATAAGACTATTATGGCAAAAATGGACTGTTAGATAGCAATTAAAGTGGCATTTATGAAGAGTTTGTTACAGCATGGAATAGCCCTTGAGTTACAATGTTTCTTGCTCTGTCATACGATCAGTGATGGAAGCACCCCAGCCCGAGCCGGGGAGCGGCGGCACTGCTTTCCTGGGTGGGGGGCCAGGAGGAATTGGCCCCATCACCTTGCCTTGTTCTAGTCAATATTTCCCAAATTTTCTATTACTAGCCTGTGTTATTTGGGTGAAAAAGTAATATTTGGTCAAAAAGTGCTGACTTCTTTTCACTTTTACTTTCTCCAGTGATCCCACACTCGGGCAATTTCTTGCCTCTCCGAATTCCTTCCATAAGGATATTTTGTGTTAGTTTGGAACAAGAGAGGTATGCGCTAGAAACTGGCATTACCCCTGTGAACTTGAGCAAGTCATTTTAACCCATCGGTCTACTGGGTTTTTTTATGCGTAAAGTGAGGAGATTGGTCTATCAGAGAAACGGCGCAGGCTTCTTTGTGCAGATTGATTCAGAAGATCAGAATACGGGGAAAGGGAGCCTACTCACCAATCTCCAAAAATTATACCTTAAAGCATTTCCCCCGAAGTATAGTTGACATTTTCCCTTCAGTTTTTTATTGTAAAATTAGAAAATTTTCCATAAAAATCATGGCAAAATCAAATAGTAATTATATTAAACTATAAAGAATAAGAAAATAAGTGATTTAATTTAGAACCAGGAAATTTTAAGGATAGCAACATATTAGCATTTCCCATGCACCAGTTGATTCTGGTCATCCCTGAGTTAAAACAGAGGTACTTTTAACTTAGTGGTTAAACATAGCTGTTGATGAGCAAGCTCCTGGGGCTGAGTTGTGAAAGAACTGATGCATGGGAGACACATGCCAATTCTGCCTGTCAGTAGTCTGGTTTTCTTTTTGCTTCTTTAGACATCCATTGATTAACTGTTACTGGATCAAAACTTTAAAAAACAACCAACCAGCCAGCCACTTCTACATGTGCAAAAAAAGAGAGAGCAACCCTGTGGTGAGGAATAAAAAGTCAATGTGCAAGGTTGTTGCCACAACAAACAATTTTTGTTGACATGAAATTATATGCCGTCTGTTGGGGACCTCATTGCCCTGAGATCCAGGAGCTCAGGCTGGTGAAGACTGGCAAAGCTGTTCCCACTCAACACATCTCTTGTGGACTAAGATCAACATTAGTTGAGGATTCCATATGGCCACCCCAAGAGCATACGCAACCTGCGGCTGCAATCACAGACGTGCAGCCCCCTGATCAAGAGGGTGGATAGAATTTGGGTTGTTCAGAATCGGTTTGAGCTCTGGGTGCCGTCCTGGGTGTCCCACAGAGTGAGGGGTCATTGACAAATGAGTCAAATTAAGCAAGAGTGAAAGTGCAAGAGTAACCTGTTTATGAAGCGATTTACCTAGTAAAGCAAGGCTCAGAGGGGTGATG